CCTTGAAGATATAAAGAAACAAAGTATTCAAGTAACTTAATAATAAAATAGAATATGAACAGCAAGAGGAACTTAAGAACAAAGAGAATGATATCATATGATTGACTGAATGATTCTTGATTGATACTTCAAATAGTGTAAAAAGGGTAAGGAGTTACATGTGGTGATGGTCCTATTTATACTAAGATAGAACCAATCACAGAATGAGACAATTGTACTAAAAAGTAAACTACAGATCAACCACCTAACATAACGTTGTGGTTGACCTTGTTTCCTACACGAGCTACAGTAAACAAGACAAAATACTAATGGACAAAATAGTACTAGTCTTCGGATCATTCAATCATCTTCTTTCTCGGAAATCTTCACTTCATCGAAAATCTTCACTTCATCGGAAATTTGTAACTTTGGATAAACATCATCTCGGAATCCAGGTTGCCTCGGATTTTCTAAGGATCACTTGTCATGTACTAACACTCTAACAGTAACGACATGGTATAATAAATATTTTATTTTATTCGGGCAAAGTAACGACAAGGTAAAGCTAATATCCAAGTTTTGTAAAAATAATACATTAATATTTATGACGATAACAATCGATATATAACAAATAATATTATTTTAACATGTATCCCTCCCCATAAAAAATGGTAAAAAGCGGAAAATGGGCCCGTGAAACTCACCCTCGAAGCGTGTTTTAAACCACATTAGTTGCTGCCGGAAAAGTGGTCGGAAGACTCGGGATTGCTTGGCTCGAGGGAAAGGATAGATCTCCAGAAACATAGAGAGGGAGTTGAGAATTTGTGTTCCAATTAACTGATTTCAGTATGCTATTTATAGGGTGAACACAGGCGCACCACGTCGTGGCCAATAACATGTCGCGTCGTGGTGTTTGCGTAGGGGGCAAGGTTGATTCCGGTGATGACACGTGTCCCTTAACCTTCCCTCCTCAGCAGGTATTTTCGCAATATTTAAAAATTAATATCTTTCACATACGAGCTCTGTTTTCAACGTTCTTTATATCGTCAATGTCGCATCAATGAGTAATACAACTTTCCTTTAGGCTTCAATAGCTAATTCACATTCTATTTTTTAATTTATATTTTTATAAGGGGTGCACTCTAAAAGGTTTTACGTAAATCATAACTCTCTCATACGAACTCCGTTCTCAACATTCTTTATATCCATGGATTCGTATGCACAAGTACTACAATTATCTTTTACATTGTGTTGGCTAAAACTAAACCGATTTTCTTCTAACTTTTTATGACACACAATTCTATGTTGGGTTGAGTGTAAAACTTGGAAAAATCATGACTTCCTCATACAAAGTCATATTTTTGTGTTCTTTATATTCTTTGAATCGTGTCAACGTGTACTTCCGTAATATGTTATTATTTATACAAAATTTGTATGCCCAAAAGTCTCCGCTATTGGATTGTTTAACTCACATTTCTTATGAATTTTAATGTATAATGTTATATTTTCATCAAAATTTGTGATATATTATACATTAAGTTTATTACTTTGACGTTCGTCATGTTTGTGATTGACGGTTATTGACCAACTTTTGACGGTTGTCACAAAAAGTCTTCTCTCTGTTGGTAACAAGCCCTCAAAAAAATGTTGGATGATGAGTTGTTCCGATATTTGGTGTTGTGGACGACTCAAATGCAAACTATTAAATATCTCCCAATAATCATGAAATGTCTCGTTTTGACCTTGGTGGATTCCACAAATCTCATTTCTAAGACTTGACACTCTTGAAGCGGGATAGAACTTATCAATGAAAGCTCTCGCCATGTCAGTCCAAGAATTTATCGACCCCGATGGAAGATAAAACAACCAATCTTTTGCTCTATTTGCCAATGAAAAGAGCAATGCCTTTAACTTGATTTGGTCATTGGTTGACCCTTGTGGTTTCGTACTAATGCAAATAATATGGAACATCTCCAAATACTTGTGAGGGTCTTCATTCTCTAATCCATGAAAAGTGGGAAAACGATGAACTAAACTTGACTTTAATTTCGAGTCTCCTTCCAAAACGCGATAACTGATACTAATTGGAGTTTATGTGACATCATTTGCCATCATTTTCCTCAAAGTTCTTTTGGGAACTCTATCTCCCTCCATTTGATCTATGATGGGTGGATTGGGTTGTATGGATGTTATATATGGTTTGTTTGGAATTGGATCAGTGGGTGGTTTTTCTTGAATTTCTTGGCGGGGATCGATACTTGATTCGGGTTCCACTTCAGTTTCATTGGCATTAAAAGAAGCGGTTTCAACTTCTGGAGCTACATTAGTGTGGGAAGCTTGACCACGTTCTAGTCTCCTTTCCTTTGCCAAACACCTTGCTTCTTTTTCAATTTTTAGGATTGTAAATTAGAGTACATGTACGATGAGATTTGGGCTTAGAGAAACAAACTGATTAAATATAAACCAATCCCCGATAACGATGCCAACTCAGTAATTGAAAGGCAGATTCAGATTCACCACATCCATGATGTTCTAGAACAAAAATTAGAAGAGAAAAAAGGGAGAAACTACCTCTATATGCTTGAACTTGATGGGATTTGACTAAGGCTTCAAACATGAACTTCAAACATCACAACTCCATGGATTTAAGGTAAGAAAACATCAATGGGGAGGGAGGATAGGGTTGATTTTGTGTCTGGGAAGAAATAGGGAAGAAGGTAGCATTAATTAACACAACTTTGGTCCTTTATGCATATGGTCCCTCATTTTCTAGAATTCTTTCAATAAAGCTCCTTAACTAACTTAAACTTAGGATTTATTCACATATGATCCTTTCCCACGTAATTTTTGACAAAACTAAGCCTAGTCACATTATTAGTCAAGTCCCTAGTCAAATGCAAGTTTCACTAATATGACACGAATGACCTTTCTAACCGAAATATCACCTGTGCGATGCTAAAACTCCATTTTATTTTAAATGTCCACTAGATCACGATCTATTATTATTATAATAAATAATTTAATTAAATTTTCAATTATTATTTTATTTATTTTTATTTTATTATATATTTTTAAATTTATTTGACCAAATGTCCGAAAATTCTGGGCCCGAAAACAAGATGATACATACTTATAACTTAGATAAAAGTTAAATATCTCATAAACACTCTTATAATATCCTAAAGGAAGCATCGAATGCAACCAAACAATCACTAATTCAAAAATAGGAGTACTTAGTGTTAGGAAATCAGACGAAACTTGTCAATAATCAGAACAGATCTGATGCCACTAGCCAAGATTTGATGAACCTTTTTAAGAAGTAATGCGGATAACACACAAAACTACAAGCACACAAAGAAATAGCATTTGTGTGGTTCAGTCAATATGACCTACGTCTACAGGTAGGATAGGAGTATTCTTTATTCACGAGTTCTCAAACAAAGATTACAAGTAAAATTTCACAAAGATTCGCCTACTCACTAGAATTCAAGACAATAAAGACACATTTAAAATGCAAGCGTGTATCCATATTTATAGACTAAAGATCAGACCCAAAATCCTAATAGGTCAAGCCCATTAATCCATAGGCCCGTGAAAGGTGTCAACCAATCACAATCTGCCATGTAAATGCTTTTAGAACCTTCATTCGTGAGATGCATTACTTGAGCACCAGCTACACACATGATGGAGCATCATCCATCATGGTGGCACATCATGCAACTTATGAGCATCTTCAATTTATGAGCATCCTCCTTGAATATCTTCAATTTATGAGCATCCTCCTTGAACATCTTCAACTTATGAGCATCATCCTTAAGCATCTTCAACTTATGAGCATGCTCCTTGAGCATATTCAACTTATGAGCATCCTCATTGGGCATATTCAACTTATGAGCATCCTCCCATCATGACTGGCACAACTATAATGGTGCATCAAGATGAAAGTGGCGCATCAAGCCCCAAGATGGCACACTATTTTTAGGAGTGGCGCATCTTGCTTCATGACATATCAGATGATGCGTCATCCCCCTTTTCATGATGCTCACGTATGATCCCTGATGCTCACACATGCTTCCAAGTGCTCCATTGATCCTTAATGCTCACATTTTCTTCCAAATGCTCCATTGATCCCATATGCTCACAAAGAATAATTCAAATGCTCAGTTCACATTTAACACTTAAGTTTGGGGGAAGAAAGGTTAACACGGTTATGGTAGAAATACACTAGACAGTCACACGACTATCTAACATTTATGTCACACATAAAGTTAATATTATCATGTAGAGAGTTCTGTTGGTTAGGATTCCTACTAGAACCAACTTGGTGGATCGAGAAATGGATGTCCCCTCTTTATTATCCCTTATTTCTGTGTTATAAGTGGAACAATGAGATCATATGTTCGTAAAATATGAAGTGGCGGTTAGAACTTGGAGCGTGATATTAATATGTCTGGAGATACTTAGATAAATTTCGAATAAGTTCATGGGTTGTTTGTAACGGTTGTTAATTTGTCTCTAAATTCGAAAAAGAAAACTATGGTGGATGTGGTTGTGTAACACTATTTGGTACATTTGGAGATTACTATTTGGTACATTTGTAGGTTCAAAGATGAGAAAGTTGTTGGAGGAAAATTGAGACAAAATAGAATTGTTGACTCCAATAGAGAATTTTCTTTTCTTTGGTATTGGAATAGGAATAGAAAATGTTCTTATTGGGGGTTAATTGGTTGCAAAACCATGTGAATTCTTTATAATTGGTTTTCTTTATGGTCTTGCTAATTTATTTTTTTCTTTTTAATATATGATCGCCTATTTCCAAAAATAAATTCAAAAAAATTAAGTTTTACCCAAATAAAAAGGCTAAAATGTTGGTTCTTTTGTATAGAGAACCCTTATAACAAATAGGTAATCACGAAATGTGAAATTTTGAGAAAAAAAAAAAAACAAAAAACAAGAAAACAAGGTTTTACAAGGGACCTATGTGAAATCTTCACAAACATTAGGTGCAAAATTGAAAATTCAAACTAAAGAAAAAGAAGGATCAGATGTTAGGAAGAAGGGTTTCGCCGTTAACTTCCTCAGTCACAGGAACGCCACTCAACGCATTTCTGATCGTCTTTCTTAAACGAAGATCGTGAAATGGCGTCACTAGCACGGTTGTCAAGAAAAGCCCTAACATCCTCACTCAGCTCCCACCGCCACCTGCTCAGCCGCGCTCTCGCCACCGAAGCGGCGGTGAAGGCAACCAAATCATCGCCGCCGCCGGCACAAAGCATAACCGAATGTCCGGATCGAGTGAAGTGGGACTATAGAGGGCAGAGGCAGATCATCCCTTTAGGTCAGTGGCTTCCGAAGATCGCTGTTGACGCTTATGTTGCCCCCAACGTTGTATTAGCTGGGCAGGTCAACGTTCTTGACGGATCGTCCGTCTGGAACGGCGCTGTTCTCCGAGGAGACCTTAACAAGCTCACTGTTGGGTTCTGCTCCAATGTTCAGGAAAAGTGTGTTGTTCATGCCGCTTGGTCTTCTCCCACAGGTTTTTATCAGAATCTGATTTTGCTTTTGATCTAATTTTTAGGATTTCCATGGATTCTTCACAGAATTTCGAATAATTTGTATTTTCTATAGATGCTTCCTGAAAACATGGTAAATTAGGAAAACTCTGCAAGGATCTATTGAATTTCGAACTGAGAACCTTACAGAAATTCTAATTAGGAACCAAGTTATCTTAGTGATTCAGGATATAATAACTGTGAGAAATCCCTAATTTGCAAACCTTTATGTGAGTATATGATCGAAATCCCAATCCAACTACGTCTTGTGATTCTTATAGTTTCTTGAACCTTTTAGAAGCACCAAAAACACATTCTTAGTTTGTGGTTTGATTGATTTATTACAGGTTTACCAGCAGAAACTATGATTGAAAGATTTGTAACAGTTGGGGCCTACTGCTTATTAAGGTCATGTACAATTGAGCCAGAGTGCATAATTGGACAGAATTCGATTCTTATGGAAGGATCTTTGGTTGAAACACAGTCTATACTTGAAGCTGGATCTGTACTCCCTCCAGGAAGAAGGATTCCAACAGGGGAATTATGGGCTGGAAATCCTGCAAAGTTTGTCAGGAAACTAACTCATGAAGAAACCCTAGAAATCCCTAAACTTGCAGTTGCCATTAATGATTTGAGCAAAGAGTATTTTAATGAGTTCTTGCCTTATTCTACTGTGTATTTGGAGGTGGAGAAGTTGGTCAAATCCCATGGGATTTCCATTTGAAAGGATAAAGTGTCTGTTTTTGGTTGAAAAGGGAGAAATAAGAAACTCTTGAAGTTGAAGGAGGACTCTTTTGAGTTTTGATTGTTTTTTAATTTTGTATGTTGTGGCTTTTGGTAGACTTCACTTATTGCCTTTCATGAGAAATGGCATGAAATCAAGCATTAACTAGTGCTCTATAGTTGTACTTTTTAACAATTGTCTTGATGCATTTTTAGAGTATTATCAAATACCATTTGTTTAAAATTTAAACAAGAAATGCCAAAAACTTTGCATAAAAATATGGGATATGGAACTAAATTGGAACCAGTTTGATATTACTTCCAATTTAACACCATATTTGGTATAAAAATGATGTAAAGCAATTGCAAGTTTGCAACCACATCATTTTCTACACTAAATTTGGTGTTATTAAAGTTTCATGTGACATTTGTGACAGTTTGAGTTTGTGCACATCTGGCTTATTTTAGTTGATTCAAGTTGAAGTTATATTTCAATGCAATGATTGTTTCATAAAATGTTTAATTGTGTTATAAATGTAATTTTTATATAATAAAATGTTTGTATTAATAATATAACAATTAATTCTAATTAAGTATGTATGAATTTCTTGTTTGATTATCTTTGTTTAATAATATTATTTATAGAGTTACTATAATAATATATATAAGGAAGGTATTTAAGAAAACATAAATAAATTAGAAAAAAAAATTCTCCTAATATATATTTTTTTATTGGAAGTGTGGAAATATTATTAGCTACAACTTAAAAAGGAACAAAGCCTAGCAAAAAAACAAGCAAAATTACAAGATATTAAAGGGATTACAACATTAATTAACCCATTTACAATCATAATAATTACCTCTAAATTTAACCCAACTAAACACCATACTAAGAATGTTATCCGCCAAGTTCATCGAGGACATTTGCATCTTATTGAACAATTTGTCGTTCCTAGCTTTCCAACCACACCAAAGGAATCCATACGTAATAGCGAGAAGTATTTTTCTTTTTTTGGGCACCGCCCCCATTGAGCAGCAAATTGAATAAAATCACTAACTGAATTGAAATATTGATAAGGGATATTGCACCACTTTAAATTCCATCTTAGAGTATCCATCATGAAAGGGCAATCCACCAAAATGTGATTTGTCTCATCCATACGATCTAAGCAAGCGCGCCAAACAAAACAAACAACTTCCAGGGGTACTATATGAATCCAAACAGTAGGATTGCTCACCGGACGGGTCACTTTAGAGTTGATAAGGGCTCTAAGATCGCAAACGTAGAAAAGCCCATCAGTAGACAATTTAGAGAACAAAGAATCTATATTATTTGAGAGATGGACCGAGGAGATGATACTATTAAGGGTATTGAGTTCCATAGTCGCCGAGGGATCCGTGTTAACCTTTTTCCAAGCCCATGTGGGGGTGTTATGCGATAACCTCTCAGAGATGAAACACTTTTTCCTTTTCTCCAACCCAAAAAGCAGAGGAAATTTCGAAGCCATAGGCCCATCCTCATACCAATCATCATACCAGAAAAGAGTATTGGCGCCAAATCCATTACGAAAACCAAAGATAGAAGAAAGTGAAATACCCAATTCCTCCAGTTCATGGGGCATCTTCACAATGTCATACCAGATACCGGAAAGAGTCTTCAAGCCTAACGAGTCAATCGGCTCCCCGGTCAAGTTATGAGTGCCACAAACGACACGAATCCAAAGAGCAGTAGGTTAAGTTTTATATCTCCACAACCACTTAACGAGAAGAATTCGATTCAAAGAAAATAAGGTGTAATGTCCCGAAAACACAAGATAAGATTTTCATTTTATTTAATCAAAAACCCATCATTCATTCATTGTAACAACCCAAAATTTAGAAAGAAGTAACTTTTTGACAATATTGACAAAAAAAGGGCAAATTGGTCATTTATGAGAAAAAGATGAGAATATGAATTTGTAACTTCATGAAAATGGCCAAGACAAGTTTAAACCACTATAAGAGGTCAGATGGATTGAGTTATGGAGAAATAATGCATGAGAAATGAATTTTTGGCCAAAAGGGTAAAATTGGTATTTTTATGCTTTTTAGGCTAACTTCTTGACCTAATAGATTAAGATCTGAATTAAGTCAGTGAGATATGACTTAACAAACATGTAGAGAATGTTTCCACCTTCGTGTGCATATAAAGATCATTAAAAACGGATAAAAAAACGAAGAAGATATGCGCATTTGAAGTTGGAACAAAAACTGCCTAAAGTTGGAACGAAATCAGCAACATACTTTGCTTATTGCCAGTACTCACGACGTGAGAAAGATAGGCTCACGACGTGAGCATGTTCTGACCATAAAAATATGATTTGCGAATGATTCTATTCAAAACCCAAACACCCAAACACACCCCCAGGAGCAAAAAACACACACTTAAGCCGTATGGGTCGATTTTTGAAGGGATAACTTGATTTAAGCTTCAATTTGATGAATTAAGGTAAGAAATTCATCTTCCAACCCCCTAATTTCAGATTTAGGGTAAGATTTTGAAGGTTTTGATGAAACCCTAAGTGAAGGGTTTGAGTTCAAATGATGAAATTGAGATAGTAGTTGATGTTGTATAGTTTAATTATAGCTTATTTCAATGATTATGAACCTTGTGTGAAGATTGAACAATTATATGAGAAATTGAATCCATGAGATTTATGGTTCATAAGTGAAAGGTGTGAGATAATGAATTAAGTCCTTGAATGATGGAATAAGGTGTTTGTAATGTTATAATAGATGGGATGAAATTACTATGAATATTTCATGATTGATATATGTATAGATTTTTATGAATGATGAGATGATGATATGATTTTATAAATGAGAATTGATATACACGAGTTGAACTATGTAAATGATTTGGTTAATGATGCATATAAGTTAAATTTTGATTAGGCAATCTAGAGAAAAGGGTTGATCAAAGAAGTCCCAAGTTAGAAAATCACCAAACAAGCCTTAAAGAATAAGGTGAGTTATTTCTCTCACTTTTCCTTATGATTATTATATGTTTAAATTTTATATTTATGCATGTATATATATATATATATATATATATATATATATATATGTGTGTGTGTGTGTGTGTGTGTGTGTGAATTTGAGGCACTAAGTGAATGCCATCAAATGATGAGTTAATAATAGAGCATTAATATACATAGATATCATGTATTTGAGCATGTATGTATATGATTGGCATATATGTATTAGATATACATATAAACATGTAGCAGAGCATGCGGTGAGCATACTTCCTTCGGGATTTATGATGATATATGAGTATCTTTCCTTCGGGATTGATGATGATATATAAGTATCTTTCCTTCAGGATTGATGATGAGATATGAGTATCTTTCCTTCGGGATTGATGATGATATATGAGTATATTTCCTTCGGGATAGATGATAAGATATGAGTATGCTTCCTTCGGGAACAATATTGAAATATGAATATACTCCCTTCCGGGATAAAATTGAGAATTGAGTATAATATCAAAGTTATTAGTGAAAAATTTGATTATATAAATAAATATGGCTTTTATGTAAGTATATGTATTAAATATAGATAAAAATGTCAAAATAAATGATTAGACCAATGAAGGTATTTGGTCAATTTGAGTAATGGTTAAATCGATGAGAGGTTTTGATATTGATAAAAGATTGATGTGACTTAGAGTATAAATAAGTTTTTAATGGGAATGACTTAATGTATTGAGAGTGGGATAAGATGAGTGAGGGTAAATAAGGAAAATTAAGTAAGTTGCTGAACTTGTAGTATTCACGACGTGACACAGATGAGTCATGCCGTGAGAAACTACAATACCATTTTCTTTTGTAATAAAAACGTTTTAACAACAAATTAGAAATGACATACAACATAGACTACAAGATTAAATAAAGATGAGATATATAGAGTATATGAGAGGGAGTATGAGATGAAATATATACATATATATGAAGCAAATAAGATCGATAAAGGATATATAGAGTGAGTGAGACTTAACATAAATGAGATATAATAAAGTACATTATTCTAAGTACAGATGAAATTAAATAGAGTATGAGAGATAGAATAGAGAGGAGAAAAAGTCAAAGACAAAATCAAGATATGTGCAAAATATGTGATGAGTTGGACGAGTAACTATGAGGAGAAATAATAATTATGAAAGAGAAAATAATAAAAGATAGTAGAATAACTCACCAGACCAAGTGTCTGATGTAGTAGGGATTTCTGTGTTTTTGCAGGTAAAAGTATTAGCAGCCGTGGTACTGGAAGAGAAGACAGGAGCACAAAATCAATATTCAGATTGTAGGATGTTATTGTTGTATTCTTTATTTTTTATAAATAGATAAAATTTATATTGTGTTTATTTGATTTAACCCGGGATATAAAAGTTTTAAATTTTGAGTATATTTTCCGCATTAATAAATAAAATCTTGATAATTCTTATAGATTACATGTTTTAGATCGAGGGTGTCACACGTTGGTGTCAAAGCCATAGTTTAAGTGAATTAGGTTTGGTGTATACATTCCTAGTCTTAAACTATGGAAGATAGATGAGATGCAGAGATTATGAGCTGGTTTGTGTTAAACCATACTAAGAGATCACAATACACGGCTGGATATGTGTGAAGATAAAGATCATGAAGAGCATGAGTATGATATATTGACTAACCTTAAGGGTTTGAGTATAAAAAAATGTAAGATATAAAATTATGTACATTAAACTTGATAATGATGATTTTGATTGAGATCACGAGACTATTACGATAGATGCATGAGAGGTGATTCAGTTTACTGGTGTAGACGATGATTATGATTTGAGTCTCCGAGATATGACGAGACCAAATCCCAATATGAGATTTTTTTATTATTGAACCGAATAACTAATCTGAGTGATTAATTTGAGTGATTAATCTGATTGATCCTGTTAATCTAATAAAATTTATCAAATGAGTGATATTAGTTAAAGCGATAAAGTGCTAACTTTGAGCCCCTAAATGATAACCTTAGAGGCGAGGTAAAGAAAAAGAGTAAAAACGTAACTTGTAATAGACCTGAAAATGAAACAGTATAAAAAGAATCAGGTCAAAAGGAGTTTTAATGAAGAAATTACAAGCCTGTAAAGTTAGATAAAAATTTATTGGAAGCTGATTTGGAAATTTGGCAG